CAGATCCGCAATGCAAACAAGAGACAAATGGAATTGAATGCTTAGGAACTGAGATTCTCTTCTTCATTCTGTTGCATTCTCATCTCAGTGCTTCTCCGATCTTATTTAAGCATCCATCTCTACAGCGAATGCTTTCTTGAAGCAGGAGTGTAGGAAGTGAAGGAGGAGCACTTCTGCTATTCTTAGAGATCCAGTGAGTACACTTTAGGAGAAGACTGTTTTTGGGCTGTGCTGGTTGCTACAGACACGAATCTTCTCACTTTCCCCATAGTGTATGCAGTGCAAGGAAAACAGATTTCGGAACAGATTTTCGAATCACATATTTTTTCACCTCCCGCTTTGTTACTGATTTAATAATGTGTTGTAATATCAGCCAGTTTATGTGGAATTTATCTGGAAAACAACAAGTTCTTTGTCCCTGTGAGTAAGAAGCTTTCACAGTCTGAAAGCTGGTTTTAGTGATCCCTTTCTTAACTCTAAAAAGTTCAATGTCAATGTATCATTGTTACCTTTATATGCTCATGTTTGCATATAGGGTCAAGTTTCTTTAAAAAGACACTAATATCACAAATGTGGTAAACATTAACTGAGCCAAACTTACACTGTCAATGTTCTGTCTGAATTCTTGGCAACTTTGTATAAACTATAGCCTATAACCCTAACCCTAACTCTTACACTTCCATGTTCTTTAAGGTGATAAATAGCTCAAATAGGTGCATATTTCTTTGTTCCACTCATGCAAAGTCCAACTTTAGATCCTTCTTACTGTTCAAAGATCGACAAACACAGTCCTGTTCTCAGCACAGAAGCTCTCTAACACACAGCTGTATAAATGGAGAAGCCACTCAATAATTGAGCAGCTTGAGTTGCATTCAAGTGAAGTGCAGCAGAAGCACAAAGACACAAAGACCACAGAAAAGATGCTGAGATAAAGCTCAAGAAATCCCCCAGAGGGACTGATTTTTATCCACTGTCAACAAATACAATGATGTTAAAATGAAAATGCTTGGATGCTGACGCATGTTATGCGCCCTGCGATGCTGGTTTAAGTGCCAAAGATGAAAAAAGTACATTACTATGTATTTAAGCACATTTTTGATACTGATATTTTCATATGTTTGCTTTCATTTGACCCACTTGTTTGGTATACATTTTGTCTGCATTACATGAATGAACAGCTTTTCATAACAACTTACAACTCTATTAAACAAAGCCAGAAATGGGGTCAACAGCCGCAAATCTAACAATGTACAGTCAGGAAGGTAATCTGTGTGGAAATATTTCTCCAAAGCATTCCTGTGACAGTAACAGAAGGGTGTCTTGTTTGCTCATAAACAATGAAGGCTCTCTGTTGCCTCAGGGGCTCGATAAACACACACTGCTTCCACACCGCACCGACTCAACCTGCTACAAACATGACAATAAAAGAACTTTTCATGGAGGTAGGTTTAGACCTGTAGGGCATGAGAAAATACAGAACACACCGACTCTCCAGTCCACTCCGGTCAACTCTAGCCTGCCCAGGTTAATGTAGCCTTGTCTGACTGAGCTGTCATTGAGTTTTTCCTTTTCTGTAACCTAATAAAATGTATACACTGTAGATAAAAGTGCTCCTGACTTACCCTCTCTGGGTTCTCTTCATTAAATGGCCAGCAAGGAGTAACAATGAGAAAACAGCACAAAGCTCAGTGAGACCTGACAAACTGTAGTACGAGTGGGCGTGGCTTTTAGAGAAGGCGTAGTCTAGGATGGGGCGTGACCTCCGGTTCCCCCTCACTCCACCTCATTGAACTCAAGACTTGCACGAGCGCGCACGTGCTCTGCTAAGTTATAACCCGGTACTCTGAACTGCTCACAAAGCGTGTTTTATTTACTTATAAAAATGAACAGAAATAGGATAAAAATCCTGTCAGAAGTTGGTGGAAAAATACAATAAGAACTGAATTGAGGCTAATTGATTCAAATGTACTACATTGGTTCCACAGGAATAAAACATACTACACCACATCAACAAAGTTACTGACGTTCAGTTTCCTTACTTTTCACAATAGCTGTGCTGATGTATTGTAATGGGGTAAATTCGAGGTAGCCATTTGAACCAAGCACATTCAAAGCACTAGTTTTCTTTCAGTTACGCACCAGCTACGCTTCCAACCAATCAACATCGAGGCGTCAAGCCGGAGAAATGGTGCGGATTTATTTCCAACGCCTTCAAGTCATTCAGAAGTGAGTGAGTAAGACTGGGCAAGGCTCCTGAGAGAGGAAAAGCATGAAAAGCATGGGCGAGTAGAGCAGCATCCGTGACAAACAGGGGCCGAGCCCACATGAAAACGAGACCATAATACGTCTACAAGACAGGTGGAGAGAATAAAACAAGAGCTAGGTTCTAGATAAATGGCAGAAGATGATGTATTTACCTCTTCACCACGATCCATCACACATCCCAGTCTCTGCGTCCCGTTACAAATGAATAAATCTCCACTAGTTCTGGAGGTGAAACAGCGCCTAGTGAGCGGCGCTAAAATAGCATGTTTTAATCCGCTTCACGGTTATATTTCTCTGAAATGAACTAAGCCAAATGTAATTTGTAGTAAGACAGCCAGTGTCGTGGTCCACGTCGCGGAAAGAAAGGATCCGGGGAAACGCCTTCCGTATTGTGCATTGGAGTATTGTTTAGGGAAGCGATGCCTCAGTGCGCGCTGATTTGATAAAGAAGCTGTCAATCACTGAGCTCCGTTCGTGTAATTGGACAACAGCGCGAGTGGGCTCCAATGAAAGCCTATCGTGCAACAGTCCTGCAATATCGCTGGGCTCCCGCCCCTGTCTGATGCAAATAGTGAGAGCAGACAGGAGGATTTAGGGAGAGAAAGGAGGAGTGGCGGGATGGAGAACAGGAATCCTCACGTGGGGAGATGCACAGTTTACTCATAGCCAGAGATGGGTACATTCCCTCTATCTGTTTGTTCTTTTCAAGCTAGATATCATCATGCCTGGCACAGGCTCAAGGTTAGTGCCATCTCTGTATCTTTCTCTCTCACGTACACAATCACAACCCGACCAGGAGGAGAGCACACGGATGCTAACGATGTCTGGCTTATAAAGAATAAACAGCAACAAGTAGTGCCTTATCTGCATTTTTCAGGTAGAAATGTATCAGCGTCTGATCTGCTTTTCTGAATATTAAAGGGTCCATATGAGGGAAAAACAAATTTTCCTCACATTTTCATTTTTAAAAAGAGAATGTGGTCTATATATGGCAACTAAGCTGCCATAACAGTCTGTTTTGGATTCATTGTTCTTGTGATGCTACACAAGAGATCTACTCATTTACATACACCTGTCCATTCAGCCTTCAGCAGTTTAAAGGATCAACATGAGATATTTTAAACATTAATATAAAAGTAAACAACTATTTTCTGTGTATGTATAGTGGATTTATGGCATTCTGAGCAGGGCATAGCGTCACAACGCCTCTGTTTGTGTTATAATCCGAGCTTCTCTGTATTTTTGTTTTCATAGCCAGTCCGTCTGCGCGTGCATATTAGTCCCTTCCTGTGAAAACGTTGGCCATCCCCACCTGCCCTCCGTAGATAAAGACAGGGACTGCCCACACCGCATTGTTTATGAAAGTTAGCGGAGAGCAGTAGGAAACGTTCTGGTGTAAGCCACCTTCCAAATATTCGACTAAATATTCCTTGAAGTTGACGAGGCTTTCAAAAATTCCTCCACTGAATCTTCCTTGAGGTTGACGAGGCTGAAGATGACTTCCTATTTGCATTTTCCTGTTCCACCTTAAATCGTGCAGCAGTTCCATTCTGTACCTGAGGTGCCTGAATGTAACTGCTGCACCATTTAAGGTGGAATAAGAAAATTCGAACAAGAAGCTGACTTCAGCTTCATTGAGAGAGTTGAATGGCATGAAAATGCAAATGGAGACTGTTTCTGCTTGAGAGGTGGGCAGTATTATTTTTGCTGTTTCACAGAACCAGTAGGTCAGTATTGTTTTGTCCTGATTGTTAATGGTTGTGATAGCAACTGGTTAGTTTCATAGCAGCGACAGATAGCTAACTCACAACCCAGCTAACATTAGTTACATTACTTACTGTGTCATTGTTCGCCCTAACGTTATGTCATGGTATTTGTCTGTGCAATGTTTGTAAAGGGTTTTATGGCCACAGACACCTAAAAACACAAGTTTTCTAGCCCAGTGTTGTTCACCTTAGCAATGCGCTTCCATGATTTTGGGGGTGGAGCTCCTGAAGGAGCACTGAAGGAAGGGATGTATTCGTTTTGCTATTGAGCTCAAATATGAACAGCCATTAATAACTTTGTCAGTTAATGGAAAAAAAGTCCAGTCCAGTCTGATATACACAAGATGAAGTGAATCCTCCTTCTCTCACTTGGAGAATGTTGCCTCAAGGACTCTTAGTTAGGTTACATTATTTTATGTCGCAGTAACATTTTAGCAGAAAGAATTTTGGACAAAAAGATATTTCCTTTTGTAGACCTTAAAATCCTCCAGATTTATTGCCAGTCGTGCTGAAGATGAATAGCATTAGATTGCTTTATAATTGCTCCTCCCTCATTCAGTATTATGAGGAAAGTGCAAAACAAATGTTTGTTTTTTTGTTTGTTTTTGGTTTGCTTCTGTATTAAAACAGTATGATGTTGCACAGTTATGACAGAAACTGATTCTGGTTGATGTCATCATCACCATTACGTGCCTACTGGGGACTTGGGTGAAAATGAATTTAATAAAAGACAAGTTCTTTTTCATAATCATGCAGACCATAAGGAGCTCTTAAAAACATCCAAAATCAAAGATTAAGTTCTGATTTTCCTTTTATTGTGCCACACTCTGCTCTTACAGTACATATTACTATTCAGATGGTCATGTAGACCTTGAGTAGTGAGAACAGGTATTGCTGATAAGAGCTGGAAACAAACTTAAGGAGCAGATCTGGAAGATCAGACTAGTGCTCCCCAGACTGTGTACTCACCGGTGCTGGTGCTGTAGGTGCGGACGGTTGTTGCGGTGGGTGGTGGTGAATCTGAATCCACCGATGCTGTGTCGTCATCTTGGGAGCAGCCTGCCTGAATGGCACGGAGGTAACTATGGCTACGGGAACGGAAGCATGTGGGTGTGGGCAAATCCGGAGGCTCCACGGCCCGCGAGTGAGAACGCATGTGCGGGTGTGTATCTCCAAACACGGACTCCGAACAGGACTCGTCTCCATAGCGTTGGTTGATGTCTGAGTCCCGTACCTGGTGGGACAGAGACATGCTGAACTGAGCTGCAGGGTTAGAGCCGTTTTTATGGGTTGCTAGGTTGGGCAGAACAGAGCGTGGTGCACAGCGGTGCATGGTGGTCAGCTGCTTTAGAGTGTCTGCTTGGAACTAACAGTACAGAGCAGGCCGGCTTGGTGAGGAGGGGTAAGGAGCATGCTCAGTAAACAAGTCTGACAGGTGACATAGAGGTGACGAAAGACTAATCAAACTGTCAAAACTGACCCCATTCTTTTTAAGCCCTTAAACTTTAGGCTTATTAACCAGTAAGTACTGCGGATTACTCAGTAACTACTATTACTATAACACTGCGAATTAGTCAGTAACTACTATTCCTATTACTCAGAAACTACAAGAGGTATCGATCTGTTTAGCGTTTCCACAAATCATTGCTGTCCAAGAATAATAACCAGTACCTCCAAAATAGTAACAGGAAAAGGTAAAACAATTCTTAACTTTTAATATAAGTTAACCTACAGAGATTTTACGCCAAGTGATTTTGGAGCATTTTTATTGGTAAATTCATTGAGAAACAATATATAAAGCATAATACTTCAACACAACTATAGCTTAAAGTCAGTAAACTGAAATACTGAAAATTGCGCTTAGGTATTACAGTTATTAAAGTTAAATTGCATATTTTGTTAATTTTCTACGTGAAAATATGTTAACACATCTTTTACAGGGAACAAACTTAAGTATATTTCTCTGCAGATTTTAGTGCACAATTAAAACATTTTTGATGAGTTTAACATATTGGAAAAAAAATAACATCAAACATAAAATGTGCAATAACATTTACACAGGCCACATTTTATGTTATAAATATATATTTTTTCCAATATGTGAAATTTCAGCAAATAAACAGTAATAGTGCATTTAAATATACAAATTTTAAGTCCATGTTGAATAAATGCAGCTAAAAACAATGTCAAACAAGTAAAAAGACTTAGAGGTTAAATCTTACAGCCAAACACAGCTGAGAGGAATGTATGTGCACATGTGATGACATCCACCTGTGCAGAGCAGTTGGTGGGTGCAATAAAACTGCACCAAATTGACTCACAGTAAGAAGCTGACTGAGAAAACGAACTCGTGCATTAACAGTACAGAATGGAAGAATTCAATACTGAATGAACTCGCAGTGGTGACTCACACTGTATGGTCCATACGTTCTAGACAGAAGCAGCTTTAAGCTCCCATTGAGCGTCTAATAATAGCCACAGTGACTTTGACGGTGATGGTTCATTTTGTGTGAATGAACAGGATCCAGTCAAGGCCAGTGTCATTCAAACACGTCAGTGTTCAGCATTAGCAGCCAAAGCTATTTCATTCCAACGTGCTTAATTCATTTCAGCAGGGCCCTTATCCCAGAGCTGTAATTGATCATTTGTCACTCTGCTGAAGTGGTAGGAGAGGGAGAGGAGTGGAGCGGGTTAGAAATGACACCAGCTAATCTCAGAGGCCCATGACATGCGCTTAGGAAGGGGACATTTGTCAGGTTTTTTTTTCACTAAAACTGTTATATTTGACATAAATGGTCCAGTTAAGCACCAGCAACTTAACTGGGAAAAGATGAAATGAACTGTAACTGTTTCTTTGGAAACAGGTTTGTTTCCAAAGCTTTCATAACTAAATATGCACTTTAAAAGCTATTGAGAGAACTTAAAATATGTAGGAAACATGATGCATTAAGATTTTTGACTTTTTTTGAGCTCAACAGCTGCTTTTACAGTCATCCACATTTGTTTCACTAACTTAGATTTCTTTGTTCATCTAACATTAGGCTGACAATAAAGTATTTTTTCTTTAAAGGGCAAAATTCAGCCTACATTGCACTTACAGCATTTGACAGACACTCTTATCTCACATAATCATGTTATAGAGGTATCTAATGTGGCCTTTGGAGTGTTCTCAGAGTACTCTTGATTCCTTCCCAAGCAGAGAATCAAATCCTGGCCTGCTGGGTGAAGAGCAGGTGTTACCCTACATCATACCAACTGACAAGATAAAACAAGACAAGAATTTATTTGTTAAATACATGTTGAGACACGGTGTGTGTTCAGTAGCAATGGCAATGATAAAATCACCCTTCTGGTCACTAGATTGTGGTTTGTATTGTGCCCTCTACACAATAGACTGGGGTTCAGTTCCCTGACCAGGTAAGCATGTTGTGCTTTCCAATAAACATTTCTGGAAGAGACTCCTAATGCTCTATCAGGTAACAAGATGTTGTTCTGTATAAGAAGTAGTAAAGCAGCTGTTGAGAAAACTCAACAAACTTGCATCATGTTGCCTGGATGTTGTGAGTTCTCTCAACACTTTTTTTACAGTGTAGCTTTCACACTGTAATTAACTCTGAATGTGGATACAAACTAGGAGAGCAAAGTTTCAATGCAATTTTATGCTAACTGCCCTCCCGCAGACTGACCTGGCTGATGCAGCTGTTACGCCCGAGCGTGCTGCAACTCTGACTGAAGTCATCATCATCCCAGCGAGGGAACGGTGAACTTCCTGATCCAATGCAGTCCAGATTATCCAGACTACGATTACCCGAGAACTCACGCAGAGATGGAAGACAACTGAGAAGACAAGAGAAGAAAAGAGATGAGAAGAGAAAAGAGAGGAGGACAAGAGAAGAGGAAAGAGGAGATCAGGATAAGTGAATAGAAAAGAGGAGATGAGGACAAGACAAGAGAAGAAATGAGGAGAGAAGATAAGTGGAGAAAAGAAAAGGGAAAATAAGATGAGAGAAGAAGATACAAGAAGAGAGGAAAAGAATAGAGTAAAGAAGAGAAGAAACAAGAAGAGAAGATTAAATGAGAGAAGAGAGAAAAAAGGAAGAGAAGACAAGAGAAGAGAAAATATATAATCTTCACAAGTTCTCCCTTAAACACAAAGCAAATGGAAACAAGTAAGCCATGAATAAAGCTTTAGCAGTGATATATGATCTATTTAGCCACCATGCTTTTCTGTGCACCCAGCTGTCAATTTAATAACCCAACAATCCATTCATAGTCTTCATTCACCATTTCAACCCTATTTGATATAAATTAGATTCATACCTTGAACAGATAAGCAGTTTTGAGATACTGATTACACTCATTGACTGAAACAAATGCAAAGTCCTATTAGAGCAAGCATATTTTCAATAAGATTAAACAGAAACAGAGCACTGTCCAATCAAATTGAAGCAACACAGACAATGACCACTCAGCACAGGGTCAAGTCCTGTCATTGTCCAATAAGAAGAGTGCTTAGCGTTTAGGGCAAGCTTGAGCGAAAGCCACAAACTCTAAAGAGGCTTTCCCCTCATTTTGTTTTACTGACCTCTGACCAGCTCTGGCTCCATCCTATCTACAGGTCAGTTCAATGAGGAAAGCCACCCAAGAGTTGTAGAACCCAGAGCCATTCTTATTCATCATCTCATAATATGAGTACTGTTTTGGACCAGTTTTACACTAAAGGCTAAGATCAGTATAACTTTTGTGGAATCTGATCTTGGATCAGCACTCGTATTCTGAGAGGAATACAGACCCTGGTCTCTTTATGAATGGAGCGCTGCGGTACAGTGGTGTGGCGCCTCCCAGTGTACTCAGTGAGGAGCTGCAGTCAGCTTGCTGGTCAGACAGACTCCTCACTGCACTGACCTTATGGAGCGTCCAATTTGCTGCAGTGTAGCAATGCTGCGGAGGGGAGACCAGAGGGCCTCCAGATCCCCCTGTAGCATCGCATAGTCCAGTGGACGGCTGGGGGAGGGAAGGAGAGGATACCGGGTAGGAGGGTTTTGAGGGAAATGAAAGTAAGAGGGGCAAGAAGGTAAGAGAGGTTATTCATAGGGAGGAATGTGGTGTACCAGTGACTAGAGATTGGGAAAAAAGTGGATTATAAAAAGTTACTATGGGATAGGATGATAGAAAGTATATAGCTGCCATTTTATTAGGTACCTACCTAACCTAACATACCAACCATATGGAAGCACTTTGTAGTTATACAGTTATTGACTGTATCCCTGCACAACAAATCAGATACTGTACCCCATCCATCAGTAAAAAGGGACCACCACTGCTGACAAAATTTATTTATGTAGTGGTGGACCATTCTTAGTACAGCAATGATACCAAAACAGTAGTGGCATGTTAGTGGGTGTTGTGCTGGTATTAGTAGCAGGGTTGCTGGGTTCTAAACCCTTTAAATCTAAAAGGATGTGGGTGGGCCCATATTTCAATTCCTCCCTCCCATAACTTACATACTCTGTTACAATATTTATATTGTATGTATTTGTAAGACATTCTTATTCAAAGCAACTAACAATTTTTGTAAATTACAAAGGTCGGTCTATGTAGCATTAGGAATCCTGGGATCTTGGTATAGCATGGGTGTGCTTGCTGGGGTAGGGAGTTGAACCCCAGTCTGCCATGAGGAGGGCAAAGGTGTTACCCACTACAAGCCATATTAATTTCAGAGTGGTTACTGAATCATTCACATAAAAGTTACTTCATAATATATTTTAAGATTAATAACCAGATAATAAGCCAAACATTCAAGGTTTTGACACTGAACACCTCAGTGTGACTGCTGGTCTGAGAAATAGTTCAACTACCAAAAATATATAAATATAATCCTGTGGCCAGAAACTGACGGCTAATGAAGGCTTAGAGATGACTAGGACAAATTGTACAAGGAAAAAGGTTATAGGCTCTAACTGTACACCTACAAGGCGAACCAACAATGCAGGGGTTTCTAATGAAGCCACTACCATGTTAGCGTTGGTCCACCACCCAAATAATATCTGGTCAGCGGTGGTTCTATGGTAGTCCCTTTCCACTGAATGAGGAAGAAAGTGTGGCTGACAAATTGTGCATCAACAGATGGGCTACAGTCAGTAGCTATAAATCTACAAAGTGCAACTACATCTAACAAATTGGCCAATATGTCACCACAGTGCATATGGAAAGTGAAGTCAGGATGAAAAAGAACACTGCATGTGTCTTCCCTGTTCTCACTGAGGTGTGTGTGCATTTTATATCATCCAGATCAGCTCTTTATTCCATTTCTGTCACCGTATGCCTCATCAGGGAATAAACACTGCTGCATTATGACAAAACCTCAAATGTGAGCGAGTTACCTCTCATCCACAAAACAAGAGTAAAACAATACAGCTAATCCATGCCCGTCGCTTACACATTGTTTTGCTGTTTAGAGGGAAGAGTGGGAGGTAGCATGTGGTAGAAGGAGGAGAGATTAACTGTGCTAAATCTAACACATGATTGCGCACAGCTTGACTGACAGAGTCTTTCTATGCGTGTGTATGTGTGCCTGTTTCTGCCTCTTACTTTCTGGAAGGGAACTGGTCACTGAGGGATTGCTGTGTGGCCCGTAGATAGCTCTGTCTGCGGGCGGCGGTTTTGGGCGATGGTTTAGGGCTACCGTCCGAATCGTCGCTGTCCTCCAGGTCCCCCATGGCCTTCACGTAGCTGCCGCTGCGCATCCGCCTACACGGGATCTCACCCGGAACCCCACTCCGGCCTAGGGTCCCACTCCACTCACCCATAGACGGCATCTGCACACAACAGTTCATAAATGATTGTACTCATGATTATTCAAAATGATTGAACTACAAAGGTGGGTAAAATATCCTATTTTTCAATGAAAAAATGTGAGTGAGAGTAAGGGTGAGATTCCTGTAGAACAGTGCAGTGGAACGTCTGCTGGGCACTGTTCTCTCTTTTTCTGAAAAATAAAATGTCAAAGCTCTGCGTCAAAAGTGTGAAAGTGAGAAATGTGAGTAACAACAAAAGCAGTTCAGTAGTTCAGAACTGAATAGCTGAAGTGTAACTAATTCAACAGTAGACTCTTTTTCCTCCTAAATATTACTATGAAAAATCTAAAATGTAAGGTAGTTCAGATTTGTTGGACACTTTTTGGGTTGCTAAACAGGCATACTGTGTCCCTCTATGAGTAGGTCTGTATACTGTTCCTGTATACAGGTACTACATATCTGCTTACGTATATATTGTTTGTATTGTAAATCTGTACTTGATTCTGTTGAATGAGTATGAAAATCTTTTCTCACATCAATTGAGTTCTGAAATAATGAACCACTTCATTAAGTACACCTACCTTATCTTTACACTCCATTTTATCAGGTTCTCATCCTGTACATGTGCACTTTATAGTTCTACAGTTACAGACCGCATTCTTTCTGTGTCTCTGCATACTTTGTCCCCTTTCACCCTGTTCTTCCATGGTCAGGACCACCACAGAGCAGGTGTTATTTGGTTGATGGATTATTTGTGGTGGTGTGTTCGTGTGTGTTGCGAGTGGATCAGACACAGCAATGCTGGAGCTCTTAAACACCTCAGTATCAGTGGTGGACTGAGAATAGTCCACCATCCAAAAACATTCAGCCAGCAGTGTCCTGTGGGCAGCATCCTGTGACCACTGATGAAGGAATAGAGGATGACTGACACAAACTCAGCTATCATCTCTGACTTTACATGGCCAACAAGGTATGAGTGTATAGCAGAGGTGACAGTAAGTGTTTAAAAACTCCAGCAGCACTGCTGTGTCTGATCCACTCATACCAGCACAACACACACTAACACACCACCACCACATCAGTGTCACTGCAGTGCTGAGGATGATCCATCACCAAATAATACCTGCTCTGTGGAGGTCCTGTGGGGGTCCTGCACTGAAGAACAGCATAAAAGGGGGCTAACAAAGCATGCAGAGAAACAGATATATTACGTTCTGTAATTGTAGATTTACAAAGTGCATGTACATGGTAAGTGGAGCTGATAAAATGTATATAGATACAAATAAGTTGTGTATTTAATGAAGTAGCTGGTTGATGTATATATTTATTGTATGTTGCAAATAAATTGTATGAAATCATTCTATTGATGCTACTACTCTAAAATTTCACCGCCTACAACTATCAGTAGAAAGTTGTTAAAATGAAGAAGTGTGGTCCAGAAAGATAATCTGAGCTGTAGATGATTCCATAATGACCAAGAAAGCTGTGTAACACTGAGAATAAAGTTACTCTAAAATTAACCCCTTAACATTCCAGGCTTATTACATACTAAGGCTTATTATTCAGTAACTACAGGGACTTCAGTGCAAACTAATAGAGCTTTTCTTAGGTTATAGAAGTGTGTAATAAAACTTTGGCAGGCCCATAGCTTGGTAAGGGGTTAATATTTAGAATGCCTCATGTTTGATCAAATATCAAGGCAGATTCCTTATCAAGAAATGACTGGAAGTAAATAAGTACAGTATGTTATTTATCATTTAATAACTTTTTGGTGTTCCCAAAAAAAACTTGACATATTGAATTAAACATTTTGTGACCTAAAGTATGCTTTTAAGAGGTAATACTCCTACCATGCCCATACGGTACACATACAGTATGAACAGTGCCACTGTGAAAAAAGAAAGCATACAAGAAGGCATCACACCCAGGATCTAATTCTGATTCTTATCTTAGCCTCTCACACTCACCCTGCCCCGCACCTGTAGGTAATGGCAGGCCAGCTCCTGATGGCACGACTTGGACTTGAGCATGGAGCGGTCCAGGGTGGCTGAACCTTTCTGGCACATTTGTCTGCTGGGCCCAAGTGTCAATGTAGACCAGGGGCCGCCCTTACCGAAATTACCCTCCACCATCGCCGATCTCCCACCTCCTCCTCCCCCTCCACCCGGGCCTGGGAGTGCAGAGAGCCCCTGGTGCTTCAGGTCATTGTTACTCTTTGAGACTTTGAGCGTGTGCTCGCTGATGGTGTTGTAGCCATGCATCAGGTACTTGGAAGCCGCTTGGCTGTCCAACCCTGACGCCCCCTGCCGGCCCAGGGTCATCATGGCCATGGGGTTTCTGTAGTTGCTGATGTCGCTGTCCAGGTCGTCGGAGCTCCAGTAGCCGGACATGTTGGAGCGTGGCCGGCGTTTGGCCGTGCCCTCGCTCTTGGCCCGGTCTTTGCTTTTGCTGCGCCGGTGCTGTTTGTCCTCGCTGCTGCTGCCACCCGAGCGCCCGTTCATGTTGCCTTTGACAGCAGAGCTTTCCAGAGACTGGGACTTAGCAAAAAGTTTCTGGACAGAGTGGACCAAGTAGCGGATCTTTCCAGGGCTGTCTGTACGCTGCTGCTGCTGCTGTTTGGTCGTCTCCACGGCTGTGCTACGATGGAACTGTAATGTGCTGAAGCCATCCTGTTGCCCCGGCAACTGCTTCTCAAACTGGTCAAGGAGGTTTGGGGGCAACCGGTTCATCTTCCCTGCGCCTAGAGGGAAGAGAATTTAACTGTTTTAAAAATACTCATCTCTATTCTAATCTCCTGTCAAAGTTCTCTGAGGTTACAGGACTGTTTGAAAATAATACGTGTGGAGATGATCAACCTGAGGTTTCATAAAAACTATAGCACACTAATATAATAATAAGTGAATGACATAGGTGATGCCATAGAATAACCTCTTTTAGTTTCCTAAACAACCTTTTAGTGAAAGATACTTTAATGTAGCACAGTGAGATTTTTTTTTTGTTAAAACTGAAAGAAATACTTACTACTTCTTATTAATGAGTAAGGAGAAAGAAAACACAGTAAAATATGGCATGCATGCGCTGTTCAGAGTTTCGCTGTAATACCTGAAAGTCAGAGGAGTGGAGCTGAATTTTGTGAGTTTTTCAGACCACAAACACATACATGTTTGAATACTCTTTCAAAGCTCTCCCAATCATCAGATTAATCCACTTGGTGGAAGGTTCTGAAGCACAGCCAACATTGCCAAATTGTGTTGCGTGCAATTGTACATTTCCAACAGAGAGGTCTCCGAATCTCAAAATCTTATATAGTACAGCTTTAACTATAGAACCATTTTTTTGTAAATAGTGTAAAGTACCTTTAAAATACCAATTACCAAAATACCAATCGGAAGCAAACTGGATTTTTGTCTTTGTAGGTCAGCAAGCAAATTAACATTTAAAAGTGTTTTTATTGTGTTTAAACGCTTTTTTGATTTTTTTTGTTTTTGTTTTTTTGATATCAAGAACTCTTGGCACGGCTGTCTTTGTGTAGAGGTGTGAATTGTTTGCACAGTATGTGGTTCTCACCCCTCCTCTTTTGCCCCTTATTGCTCACTTGCAGCTCAACACAGAGTTTCACACTTTTCATACACAGGAAGCCAACAGTGCCCTTGTTATTTCACAACTGAGTAACATGGAACACATTTTGATTATAATATGCTGAATGGCAGAACGAGCCTCAAACTGTACATCTAAGCCAAGAACCAATTAAGAGCTTTTTAAGAGTGTACCACAAAACTATAACCATAACTACTACCACAGTGGGGGTAATATCTGATTATGCTTGGCCAGTGGAAGCAAAATAGTCTTTAGATTTTCAACATTTTGTTGTAACTATATAACTAACTGTTGTAACTATTGTTTATCTCTCTGTCAAAAATGCAAATCTAAATAATCAGTTGACGTTGATTAGGGTGTGAATGCAAGACAAGAGAATCTGGTGATGATGGAATAAAAATGCAGGAAAACATATAGTGTGAAGGACTACTCTGACTTATGCACCGTAAAAAAGCCTGAGGTGAAAAAGCAGACTAATTGCAAAACAGAGCTGCAAATTACGAGGGCAATAAGATCAAGCACATCCCTGTGGCCAGAACCCATTATGATTAACATAGGAATGACTTATGTAAGAACATAACCATCCTTGTCTCCTTTGGGGTTCTGGTCCTCAAAATAAAGAAAGGCACTGTATTTAAGGCTTTTTAAACACCTCTCCCCTCCTGTAGACAAGAGAGTTTACTGCTGTGTAGTCATGCAGTATGTTAAATCTCTTCTTTAAATAAATGATGTTGATGGCTATGGAACTATATAGATAACTATTATATTAATTACATTAGCACAAACATTGGGAGCCTCAATTCAGGCACTATGCAAATTCTCACTCTAATACACTATGTACTACATTCCTGGTAAAATAAAAGGTAATGATCTTAAAGAAACGTACCTCATGGCCATTAAATTAGCAACTGGTTAATATATCATATTTATTTTTAAACATTCTTAGCTGCATATTAGCCTAGCACCACATATAAATACAATTATTAAAGAACAAAGACACTGATCTTATTTGAAATTTTCCTCTGATGTGTCGATTGCAAACAGTTTGGTTCTTGTTTTTTTTATTTTTATTTAAAAAACAGGACCCCCCCCCCTATGTTCCTGGAACATTCTGGCTCTACCCCTCTTTAACCCCAAGCCAGCTGCTTGTTGTATTAGTTTGGCTCTGGTGTTGTTCTTGGTGGTTTACATGTAAATCTTAGCCATATTGTCAAGTGTGCCTCATTAGTTCTTCTGACTTTTACTTGCTTTTATTTGTTGATGACTGATGGATTTTGCCTGTCACTCCAATTCCTGCCTTTTGAAATCCAAAAATACTATCATCTGACATTCATTTTTCTTAAAAGTAACCAACATAATGCAGTTTTTGTTAATTAGTTGATTAGGTAGACTAAGGCTTTTTTGAAAATTAAATAGCAAATAATGTCACTAACTTTGCTATTTTAAACAGCTATTATACAGTTTGCAGTTTGTTGGGTATTAACAATTCATTACATCCTGCTGTATTTTCCAGTGTAAACACACTAAAGTGGCTAGTGTACTAACAAAGTACTTGATTTAAGACACGCATATCCACTTTGGAAGTCCTTACTCTACCTGATATGGTTGCAGATCCACTGGTGATCATGGTGGTGCGTCCCACTCCGAGTCCCATGCCCATCCCCATACCCATGGACATGGAGGTGCCCAGTGTGCCCGTGCTGATGCCCCCGATGCTGTCTCCTCCGGGGGGCGAGAAATCGCCCTGCTCGTAGTGTGAGTTGTAGTGTATACGGGGGAAGGTGCTGCTGGAGGACAGCTGGTTGTTTAGGGGCAGTAGGCAGTCTGGGGGGAGACCAGGGGAGGGTGAGGGGGAGAAGTGGTGGGGATCCAGCGCTCCGTAATGATCCATGGCTCCGGGCAGGAGGTAGGGAGTGCGGGACAGGGTGGAGGAGGCAGAGGGAGGGTACAGGGGGTCCAGGTGAGCAGGAGAGTGAGGGGGCTCACAGTCGGAGAGATGACGGGAGCGCTGGGGGGTGTAGCCTTTCATGGCGGAACGGGGAGACCCCCCACCCCCCTAGAGCAGCAGCATAGTTCCACCAGGGAGAGTCGCACACCCTGGAGAAGACGTCCTGGATAGAGAGAGAGAGAGAGAGAGAGAGAGAGAGAGAGAGAGAGAGAAAGGGGATATTTCTAAATATTTTAAATCTTTATTCTTATTTCATTTTTTTGTTTCAGTGATGCTTTCACAATAATATAATAAAGAAAAAACAGACAAAGATGGGCAGAGTGAGAGAGAAGGATGGAGGGGGAAGAGAGAGAGGGAAAAGGAGTGAGAGAAAAAAGGGAGAGAGAAAGGGGGCATAAAGGGAAGGACAGAGTGAGAGAGATGGAGAGAGAGAGAGAGAGACAGAGACAGGAAGGGGAGGAGTGAGAGAGCAAAAGCAGAATGAGTCATCATGTGTGTCAAGCTGGCACAAAAATGGCACCAGCAGTTTCACACACACACACACACACACCACACACACACACACACACATACACACACACACACATACACACACAGAGAAGCGTGTTTAAAAGACAGTAATTCAAAGCTGTGCCTTGATTTGACATGACCGTTAACTGACTGGCCAGATGAAATATGACTGTACTGCTGCACACATCTGTTACACAGAACACTCACACTCACACACACTCAGTTGTTTTACTTTTGTAATAAAGCTGTTTCGTGATGCTTTACAGACCGATCTGTCTGAGAAAAAGGTGTCCGACTGTCCAACCCTTTAACTGACCCACAAACAACCTCACCACCTGCTTTATGTGCCATCTGACTGCCAGCCACCTGCCTAACACACACACACACACACACACACACACACACACACACACACACACACACACACACACACACACACACAAACACACACACATACACACACAAATGTGTGTTTTTATACCTTCTGGGGTCATTAAAAGTTTGGAATTAGAATAATTGCTGCTTTTTAAACTGAAATAATATCTATTCTGAGATTTGTTGATCACTTTTAAACACAAGGTATTCTGCATGTTCATTTTAGAACAATTTATATTAACTTAATGCACAATGTTATACAGCTTTTTAATGGTGTCCGCTCTGTTCATCATTCTGGACACATCTAAAATGGTCTAATTTTTACAGCTTCCTATTGATTTATTAAAATTGAAGAGTAGAGTAGTAGCATCATAATAGAATCATTTCATGCATTTACCTGCAATATTTTGCTTGAAAATCCCAAACTTTTGATCTGTGATTCCTAGCTTTTGAACACTAGTATATGATTCACATATAAATGACACTCTATGATTGTGTTATTGACATATAAATGACATGTTAACATGACAAATGGACCAATAGAAATGGTCCAAAATGAAAAAAAGTCATTATATTCATGTGTTACCCTTGTTTTCTCTCACACACACACAAATAGAGACGTCCTCCATCAACACTTAAATTAAAGGCCTGTATACTGTATAGCCGTGTCATGTTGGAGGTACATGTTCAGTCCTTCTCAGCCTCCATCTTTATCTCTTTCTTTCTCTGCTTCATATTGCAGGTTTTTGGCCTGCATGCTGGCATTGTGGTGTCGTACAGAGGACTGAGGCGATGGGAGCCTACTACCCCATATTGTGTGCCCAGACTGTCTGTGCCCTGCTACTGTCCACTTGGCATGCTGGCACCTTCCAGAGAGGCGGGGGGATTAAACACCATTCTATCCCTTCACTCACTGAAAGCATTACAGTGACTGGCACAAAGCCTGAGCAAAATGCAATAAGATGATGACCACTACTTTGACTTCTTGTGCAGTAATTGGGAAGTAACAGTCAGAGAAAGATGCCAGTTACAGGGGGCTATCCTAGAGAAGTCAGTATGTGCAATCAGTGGCTTCTCATAGAGGAGTTACCCTACCACTCAAAAGGATGGAATCCATGTTTCCAATATACAACCAATTCGGTCACAGATAAATGTATAAAATGATTCTAACATGCTAGCAACATGCCGTTGTAATTTGTAGGAAGCTAAGAAGCTGAAAAAATCTGTAGAGCATCAGTGATAAAGTTGAAAGAGGTGATCAAATCACAAGGCAGTTTTCCAATATCAAAATGAGAGGCTACTTTATCCCACTCTTCCAGCACTCCTGGTACTTTTTCTTGTCTGTGGCCATCTCTACAACCTAGCACAATGTCCAGGCATAAAGAAAGGATCATTTTGTTTATATGATCATGAATCCTTTAATAGAAATTTTAACTTGAAGTGTAACTGTCAATATTATTGGAGGAGCCTGTTAGTCTGTTAGCTATCTTTAAATGTGTTCTTTGTAGGGTTTGTTATGGTTTCTGGTCTTTTACCTCATATTCAACAAATTTATGCCTGCAAATCACTTCTACAAATATACGCTTCAACTGCTGTTCATTGTTTATGGCTACGTTGGATGTTCACTCAGAACTTTAATAAACATATAACATTAACAAAATTACAAGATAAACAAACATTTAGATGACTTTGGGTATCTGTACATCTGAACAGTCATGATCATTCCTACAAAAACAATAGTGAGAAAACAATTACAGTGTGTTATCATTTTATAACTTCTTGTTGTTCCCAAAATGCATGAAATATTTAATGAAACATTTAAAAGTCCTTTTTGGTGTCTGCTTTACAGCATTTAAATCAGGCATTTATTATTAAATGAATAAATGTGAATTCTAAAAAATAAATATATAAAAATTAAATATTTATATATTATTACATCTAAAAGAATAAAAAAATGTAAAATACTATGAAAAGTGAAACTTCCAAACTTTTGTACAGTTTTAATAACAGTGTCAATATGTAGACAATATTTGCCACAGAGAGAGATAAAGAGTGAGAGAGACAGAGAGAGAGAGAAAGAGAGAGAGAGAGAGAGAGAGAGAGAGATACTATTGACAAAGCCTAATAGGCCACAGGAGTAGTATCAGTGAAAGACAGAGCAAAAACCTGAAGCGAAAGCTGCCTATCTGCTACACACAGAGGCAAGAAGTGCATGTTTTCCTGGAAAGGCAGTATATTCTCTTATCGACAATACCTCAGAAGCCACGCTTTCAGGTGGGTACACACATTACTGATGCCAAATTGCTGCGGGAATCCAGACAGGAAGAGAGAGATGGGGGCAAAGTCCAAATCAGCTCCAAAAACAGCTGCAGCATTAGAGGAGTTGGCTCTCTAAAGTTGACAATAGCATTAAATATTAAGCATATCAAGCTTTACCTCTCATTTTCTCTCTTATTCTCCTTCTAAAAGACACACACACACACACACACACACACACACTTCTGCTTGCCTGCCACAGAATGAGAATGCAGATCAGGTGCACTCACCAAGAAGGAAAATAATATTTGAGCTCATCTAAAGTCTAGTGCAGCCTAAGAATGATGAATAATTGAAACATATTCATTTCTGTTTTAAGACTAAATCCACAGTGTTTATGTCTTTCAAAGCCTGGTGAATCTGCATGTATCTGGAGACAGAAATAAAGAACAGTGTTGAGGAAAAAAGGAAAATGGGGTAAAAAGCAATGTTGTTTCAGTTAATTGACTGTTTGCTGTTTACCAGCTAGCAACCAGCGGATAAATTATGCATAAAGTGACAGTCAATTAATTCAAATCCACATTAACATAAGATTAAATTTGCTATCACAAACTATAAAACGAGATTTCATTTAGCTTTTACAGTATATGGCACACAGCCTGAGACAGAAGCGTGCACATTTTAATATCCCTTCTCCTGATGAATAATTGTTCTGCTGTCATCTTGCGCTTGTCTGTTCTCCATCTTCCTTACGTCCTTGATATTGTTCATCTGCAGACTTGGATTCATTCAGGATCATTAAGTGTCTATTTTGAATTCAATCACTCAGAGTTGGCCAGAAGATCATACTCAATCAGTGATAACCTTGAATTAGCCTGTTGCATTCACTTAGATGTCCCACCGTGATAACTAACCTAATCTCCACAGAAAGAGAGACACAGAGAGAGAGAGAGAGCGAGAGAGATAGAGAGAGAGCATTCAGTGTGGGTGGTTGGGTAAGCTCAGAGTGTGCAGACTGTATTTTTTTTCCCAGCAGTCACCATCTGCTGCAGTAGTAATCACACAGGTGTTTTCTTTCATAACTAGCACACACACAAACAGGAGATAAAAAAGAGAGAATACACAAAATGATATGTATGAATGTAAGCAATGATTAGACCTAAAATCAAATATCCTTCCTGCCTTCCCCCAAATGTAGTCAATCAGCCAAGACATGCTTGCTGTTTGAAATTTCTCAAATAGACTTGATTAGGTGGCTTTTGACACTGTATGATATACCATTATCTATAAAAATGAACACAAGTACTTAACATATCTAAAACAGTAGCATCAGCATCATCTTGGCACCTGAATTTTGTCTGTGTTTTAAAGCAGTGAAAATGGCAAAAATGTGCAGGGCAGTGATACTACAGGACCACTGCGTTAGAGCACATGTGCCAGGCTTCAGTCCTGACCGGCCACAGCACTGCAATTTAGCATTCTAGTTTATTACAAACACCTGATTTCAACTCATCAGCTAATTAGCAAGACCTTTAGAGCTTTAGGAAGAGAGACAACGCTAATCTCTGCAGAACAGTGGCCCACCAGAAACTGAGTCTGACATCCCTGTGTTAGCGATATGGCAGGAGCCCCAAAATAGAGTTAGCCCAGGAACCCTTAATGTTCATGGATCCATAGATAGGTGTTTACCTCAGTTTTTTTTTAAAGGGGAGCTTCACCTATTTTTCAAAATTTCTGCATCAGTCAGTCATTAAGTTGTCTTCTGACAAGAAACATACTCAGATTTCTTTACAGGTGGTGGTTATGGGAACCAGGGGTCATAATGTCTAAAAAAGCATACAGTCATATTATTTAGCAAGTTTTGTTTTGTGTATTTGTATTTTTATCAGTGTGTCATCCAGTACATCATATACAGTAGTATGCAAAACTTTGATTTTCTAAGTGAAAATCCTCTACAGACAATACCTTTTGCACATTTTAATGCACAATTACTGATTATTTGCTGAATTTAACATATTGGGG